CTTGCAGTCCAGCATTTAGGAGGTTGAGCTAGGATCATGAGATTGAGGTCAGCCTGGGCTACATAGTGATACTGTGTTTCAATAAAGAAAAAAAAAGGTCAGAGACTGCTGGGCGCCGGTGGCTCATGGCTTGCTACTCAGGAGACTGAGATCTGAGAATCACGGTTCAAAGCCAGCCTGGGCTGGAAAGACCGAGAGACTCCAATAAACCACCAGAAAACCGGAAGTGGTGGTGTGGCTCAAGTGGTAGGGTGCTAGCTTTGAGCTGAAGAGCCCAGGCCCCCAGAGTTCAAGACCCACGACCACCACCAACAACAAAAAAAGGTCAGACAAAAACCATAGTAATGAAGCTGGTGCTGCTGGCTCACACCTGTAATCCTAGCTGTTCAGGAGGCTGAGATCTGAGGATCAAAGCCAACCCCAGGCAGGAAAGTCTGTGAGACTCTCATCTCCAGTAAGTCACCAGAAAACTGGAATTGGCACTGTGTCGCAAGTGGTAGAGTGCTAGTCTTGAGCCAGAGAGCTCAAGGACTGTGCTCAGGCCCAGAGTTCAAGCCCCACAACTGACAAAAAACAAAATGTAATGGTAAAACCATGTAATAGAAATGGTGTAAAAAAAGATGAACAGTGCCATGCAGCATCTAGTAAGAAAACTTTGCAGTATGGAAGAGCCCTGGCTGGTTTGGTTATGAACCATATTGCATAGAGGCTCAATGAAAGGATAGCAAAACAAGGGAGACTCTCAAGGACTGGGGAAGAAGAAAGAATATCCTAGGGTCACATAGGCAAAGAAGGTTTTGGGAGTGGGGTGAACGTCAGTATGCTAAGGAAATTAGATACCCAGGGGATAGTTGTGAAGAGGTATGGATTCACACTTTGTCCCTCTAGAATTTTCGTGTGGATGTGGTACATATGGATGAAGACTCACTGGAGTTCGACATGGTGGGAATCGATGCAGCCATTGCCAATGCTTTTCGAAGAATTCTATTGGCTGAGGTATTAATAGACATGGAGGGGAGGCTGGAATTGTATGGAGAAAACTAGAATATCAGTTGTAGGATTGTCTAAACCCCTTTGGCTGTGTGCTTGCTCACGGGCTGTAATCCTATTGACTCTAGAGGTAGAGATGGGAGGATCACAGTTCAAGTCCAGTTTCTATCTGAAAAATGACTTTAAAAAGCAAAAGGGCATGGCTCAAGTGCTGAGAGAGTCTGAAAATAAATGGGATGCCCTGAATTCAAACCCTTTCCCCACTCCCCAAAAATTGTCCCTGTCATTCCTACAATTTTAAGATTTTCTGTGATTTGAGCTTTATATAAAACTCTTCTGCGAAGGTGTCCTTAGTTCAGAAGATGGAGGAATGGGTAGATAGCAGATTGGGCTTTTGTAGACCAGCGACTCTTGATTCCTTGGACAGGTGCCTACAATGGCCGTGGAAAAAGTTCTGGTGTACAACAACACATCCATTGTCCAAGATGAGATCCTTGCTCATCGCCTGGGGCTCATTCCCATTCATGCTGATCCTCGTCTGTTTGAATATCGCAACCAAGGTAAAGGAAATTCAGAGAAAAATGTTAGAACTCTGCCCTAAAGTACATTCTAGAATTGGGCTATTTATCACTGTTGTGGCCTTCCAGTAGGTCTCTTTTCTCTATGGGAACATTTGTCCTGGCTTTTTTTGTTGGTCATGGGGTTGAACTCTGGGCCTGGGCACTGTCCCTGAGCTCTTCAGCTCAATGTAATACTCTACTTCTTGAGCCACAGCACCACTTCACACTTTCTGGTGGTTAATGGGAGATAAGAGAGGGGCTGGGAAGGTGGCTCAGTGGTAGAGTGCTTGCCTTGCATGCATGAGGCCCTGGGTTCGATTCCTCAGCACCACATAAGCAGAAAAAGCTGGAAGTGGCACTATAGCTCAAGTGGTAGAGTGCTAGCCTTGAGCTGAAGAGCTGAGGGACAGCACCCAGGCCTAGAGTTCAGGCCCCACAACTGGCGGGGAAAAAAAAAAAAAGAATCTCATGGACTTTTCTGCCTGGGCTGGCTTTGAACCATGATTCTCAGATCTCAGCCTCCTGAGTAGCTAGGATTACAGCCATGAGCCACCAGCAGTTTGTGAAGACTTAAGCAGTACCTAGCACTCAAATGCTCACTAGGTGCTGTGTCTTCCATTTGTACAGGAGATGAAGAAGGTACAGAGATAGACACACTGCAGTTCCGACTGCAGGTTAGGTGTACCCGGAACCCCCAGGCTGCTAAAGACTCTTCTGACCCCAATGAACTCTATGTGAACCATAAAGGTGAGCAGTGGTGTGAGCGAGAAGGCCCACCTGCTGAGGAGTGCTAGTTTAGCCAATGTGCTCTTGTTTTGATTCCTTCTAGTATATACCAGGCATATGACATGGGTCCCCTTGGGAAACCAGGCTGATGTCTTCCCGGAGGGGACTATCCGCCCAGTGCATGACGACATCCTCATCGCTCAGCTGAGACCTGGCCAAGAGATTGACCTGCTCATGCACTGTGTCAAGGGCATTGGTGAGGATCCTGTGGGCCTGTCCTGTCCCGATGTAGGGAGTGGGGAGCCAGATGGCAGCAGTGCAGGTGTGACCAAGGAGCGGAATGCTTGGAGGTGACTGGTTTTTCACAGGTGGATTCTCTGTTCTCTTTAGGCAAAGATCATGCTAAGTTTTCCCCAGTGGCAACAGCTAGTTACAGGCTCCTGCCAGACATCACCCTGCTGGAGCCCGTGGAAGGGGAGGCAGCTGATGAACTGAGCCGGTGCTTCTCACCTGGTGTTATTGAGGTGCAGGAAGTACAAGGTATACTGTTGGGGTATTCTGGTCAGGACTTAAATGTATTTTTTTCCCCAGGTAACAGGAAGAAACAAAGGTTTTTGGGTCTTTTGGGGGGAGGGGGTGGGGGGTGTTGGGCTTAAATTCAAAGCCTGGGCACTGTCTCTGAGCTCTTTTGGCTCAAAGCTAGTGACCTACCACTTTGAAACACAGAGCCACCTCTTAAGTTTTCTGGTGGTTAAACGGAGATAAAAGGCTCACAGACATTCCTGCCTGGGTTGGCTTTGAACTATGATCCTCAGATCTCCGCCTTTGCTAGGATTACAGGTATGGTCTGAACTACTGGTACCTGGCTCCTGGCTGCTTTTTTGGTTTCTAATAGACTGTGACATTGTAACATGGTTTGTTTTCATCAGGTAAAAAGGTGGCCAGAGTTGTCAATCCTCGGCTAGATACCTTCAGCAGAGAAGTTTTCCGGAATGAGAAGCTGAAGAAGGTTGTGAGGCTTGCCCGTGTTAGAGACCATTACATCTGTGAGTACAGATGGAGCAGGGAGGGGTGCTGCAGCTTACTTTCCAGAAAGAACTGAGGAACTTGGGGAGGGAGCTTCCTAAAGCTAACGTGTCTCTTTGGTCCCAGTTTCAGTCGAATCCACAGGGGTGTTGCCACCAGACGTGCTGGTCAGTGAAGCTATCAAGATTCTGATGGCCAAATGTCGGAGGTTCTTGGATGAGCTAGATGCTGTTCAGATGGACTAAGGCTTGCACTGGAGTTTCTAGGATGGCTGTGCTCAGATGCTTCTGGGTGTTGAACTGCCCTACAGGACTGCTGTACCCATTGTGTAGAGGTCAAATTCCAGCTTTATTTTTAATCAATACATTTTGTTAAATGTGTCACAGAATGAGACTTTTGCCTTTGTAAGGCCTCTGATGTAAATAAATTCATGTCCAGATGCTATCTTGTTCTAAAAATATGGGGCTTTTCTCCTCAGAGCAGCGGCACATTGAGTCCATGTCTTCTGAGAAAGGCCAAATTGAGGTGGTTCTGGGGGTGCAGCCAAACTAGGAAGATACAGAGCCATTCCACCTATCTCCTGGCATCAGGGGAATTTCTCATAGGGAAAGTAAGATGGTAGGGGCTTGTCCTTAACAGTCACGGTGCTGACACAGTATGAAGAACAGCAAATCCTTTTAGACAAGACTGTCAGGGTCTGGGCCAGCCTGGGAGCCACAGTGAGATGCTGGTCTAGTTTGATTAAACAAATCTGTCACAGTTTCAGATAGCTGAACAGCAGGCCCAGCTCTTCCTGTCTAGCCCCCCTTAAACTGGATGCTCTTGAAGAACTAAGCCTTATAGATCTCACTGTCATTTGAAAAAGGCAGATAAGGAAGGCCCTTTCTATGTGAAACTGAGATTTTACTGACATGCAGATGTGTTTTAGTTCACATCTCTACAAAAAGATTCTATAAACAATAGAAAACATCTAGCATGAAATCACAGGATGTCCAAAATATTACAAGGTAATAAATACAGCTATACCCTCCACAGCCCCAACCAAACCAAGTAGGCAGCTGTCAAGTTTGGAGGAAAATAATCTTGAGATTACCTTCACAATCAAAAAACAGACCTGTGCACTAGATAGGAAGAAGGGGCAGACTTGTGTAGCACACAGCAGTGTGACACTCCCATGCCATTTTTCAGCTTGCCTCTTAGTGTTACTGTGCTGCAGCCTGGACCAGCTAGGAGCGGTAAGCTCCACTGACCTCTCATAGGACCTAGATGGTCAGCCTCTGGAGTACATGGCACCCTATGGTTTCTGTATGGCAAGCCTACTTTATATCATACTCAGGCTTGGTCCCACACCCAGTTGCTATGGGAAAGCATTTTTTTTTCCTTTTGGAAATGGATCTTGAAGAAAAGAAAGAGATCAGGGACCTGAAAGACCATGAGGTTTTTTAAAGGCACCTGGACTGAAGCAGTCCCAGGGAACTGTGGCTTTACTAGCTGCTTATCACAGATGTAAGCCTAGTTGGTCTTGGATGACAGTGACCTTGTAACAGAGTAGGGTACTATGGCTTTTATGCCTGAGTAGACCCTGAGGCTGGGGAAACGCTTGAGGGTCATTCGTAGAGGGCAAGTATGTGAGCTCTAAGAAGGATGTTAGCACTAAGCCCAGCCCTGGTCCCTGGAGGTATGCTTGACACTGTGCCCTGACTTTAGCAATAGTTTGTAATATAGATTCCATCAGGTGACCAGATTCTTGCCCAAGACCGAGATGAGAGAACTGGCCAAATTGCATTCAGCACTTAGCACCTAATCCAGACATACCCATGGGGGTGGGGAAGGGTTCCCGCCAGCCCAGCAGCAGAGCTCAGCAGGACTAGCAGTGGTCCAGGAGAAGCCGGCACAAGGAGTTGAGGGCTGAGCCTCTGTGAGTCTGCAAAGCTGCTGTGTTGGGCACAGCTCCCCCAGTTCCCACTCTGCGTGGGGGCAAAGGGCTTGAGGAGAAGGGCCATTCTGCTCTAGCTTTTCTTAGAAAAGCCACAAGTCCAAGTAGAATGGGAACTACCTGGGACACCTCAACAGAAAGCCCTAAATCTCTCTCTTTTTGTAGAATTACTGGGGCCCTGCACAGGGCCCTCTCTGCTGCTCCAGACCTGGGTGTGTCTCCAGGCTGATCACGGTGCAAAGTGAGGTGGCATTGTGAGAGGGGCTAGAGATTAGCTACAGAGGGAAGAAGAGATGACAAAGGCTGAGGAAGATGCCCAACAGCTTGATTCAGGGTTCAAAGATGGTAGCCAGGCTGCCCCCGTCACTGTCCAGCACCTCTGTCTCCTGCATTGGCTTTGCTTTTTTGAAAAGTGAGGGGAGATTCTTAATGTGAACTTCTTTTCGAAACTGCTCTCCCAAGGGTTTCTGTAGAAAACAAAGGAGAAGGAACTGAGGCTGGGCCCCAAGGAGCATGGTAAGAGATCATCCCACCATAATGGTCAATGACTGAGTTGGGTCTGGTTTACTATGACCCCTGCTCACACATGGTCTAAGACCACAAGCAGCCCTGTGGGTTGGTGGAAGCATGACCTACCCCAATACAACCAGCAATGAGGCGTTTGAAATGGTCCTTCCGTCGCTTGTCAGCTGCTTTCTGCAGGGAGGGGTTCAGGAGCTTGCTGTCAAACTGGTCCAGAGCATCCTTTTGAATTTCAGGAATCTGTTCCATCACAGCTCTGATCTCTATGTACCTGGGGCGCTGAGAAGTAGGGATAAACTCACTCCAAGGAGGTTTGGCATCTGCCACCTTCCCCAAACCCTGTCAAACCCACCTCTGAGGAAGCAGGCTGAGTGATGAGGCTGTGGCCAACCTGCCCCCATGTTCTCTGCACTCACCAGAGTCTCATATATCTGGAAAGCCAAGTGGACCAGGGAAGCCATGCACCCGTCATGCTGCCCGTGCATCTGTAAACCTTTGAGCACGCTGGTGAAAAGCCATGTGACAGCCTCTGCCAGTAGGGTCCCTGTCAGCACCTAGGGAGACAGCTGTGCTCAGGAGACAGGTCTCCAAAGGGCCCAGCACCCTGACTCTTCCAGCTGATGTAGCCAACCCAACCCCTGATGGTCAGGGAGAGGGGTGGCTACCCATACTTGTTTGAGGAGAGGCCAGCAGAGCTGTGTGGTCGTTCTCTGACAGGACAGGGTATCTTTCCAGGCCAGGGAATTGAAGGCAGTAATTAACATTGCTGTGCAAACATCCTGAAAAGGAAAGGAAGCAAAATTAGGACAATGAGCACATTTTTCTGATGATTCTTACACGTTAAGAATAATTTCAGCTGGTTGCCAGTGGTTCACGTATATAATCCTAGCAACTCCGGAGCCTGAGATTTGAGGATCGCAGTTCAAAGCCAGCCCAGGCAGGAAAGTCCATGAGACTCCAATTAATTACCGGGAAACTGGAAGTGGCTCTGTAGCTCTCGTGGTAAAGCACTTGCCTTAAGCTGAAGAGTGCAGGGACAGGGACAGCGCCCAAACGCCACGACAGACAAAAAGGAATACAATCTCAGGGGCTGGGAAGGTGGCTCAGTGGTAGAGTGCTTGCCTAACAGGCATGAGGGCCTGGGTTCCATTCCTCAGCACCACATAAACAGGAAAAAAAAAAAAGCGAGAAATGGTGCTGTGGCTCAAAGTGGTAGAGCACTAGCTAGCCTTGAGCAAAAAGAAACTCAGGGAAAGTGCCCACACCGAGTAGTCCCCAGGAACTGAATTTCAACTGGGCACCAGTGGCTCACACCTGTAATCCTAGCTACTCAGGAGGCTGCAGGAAAGTCCCTGAGACACACTTATTTACAATTAACCACTCAAAAACCAGAAGTGGCACTGTGGCTCAAGTGGTAGAGTGTTACCCTTGAGCATAAAGAGGCTCAGTGACAGTGCCCAGGCCTTAAGTTCAAGCCTTAAATGGACCAAAACAAAAGAAGTTAGATTATTTAATTTTTTTCTTGGTAGAACAGGGAGTTTGCACTTAGGACTTTGTGATTGCTTAGGCTGGCTTGATATGGCTGAGCCATGCCTCCAGCCTGTTCTTCACTGGTTATTTTTAGGATAAGGATAGGGTCTTATTTCTGCCTGACTCAGGCCTGCGCCACAATCTGTCAACTTTCTGGCTTCCTGTTGTAACTGGGGTTACATGTGTGCCCCATATCCGGCCTTCTTCCATTAGGAAGAAGTCTTGCGTATTTTTCTGCTTAGGGTATCTTGATAATCTCAGCCTGCCACATAGCGTGGGATGGATGACAGGTGCACACCAGTGTGCCCAGCTATGGAGTTTCACACTTTTTGCTAGAGTTGGCTTTGAACAATGACCCATCTGTTTCCAGGCTCCCAACTAGCTAGGTGACAGGCATAAACCACTAGTACCCAGCTAAGACCCGAGTTTCAAATAGGTAAGCAGGAAATAATAAACCAAAATGGTATATGGGAACTCCATGTAGAAGACACATTCAGGCTAGGATGGCTAGATACTAGGGACTTTGGGTCCTTTTTCTCTCAGAAAAGTGCACACATGTTCTCCATCTGGGTGAGGAGAAGCACCACCCATTCCTGTACTCACCTCATGCTTCATCAGACATTTCCCCAGCTCTGTAAGCTCCGCCACTGGCGGAGGGGTAACTTCTGTGGCCATCATCTCTTCATCTGAAAGCAAAGCAGAATATCAAGCTCCATCCTTTGAGCATGTCCTGAGCTGTCTGGTGCTGATTAGCACAAGCAACTCCCCATGGAAGGAGGCTGAAGCTTATGCCTAGGGAGGATCTGCATGCTGGGCAGCGCGTGCAGGGCTGTCATTGTTGAGCACATATGTAAGTGTCCATTGCACATCTGTCACTGGAGTTATAAAGGTATAGGCTGGTTGGGTGCCAGTGGCTCACACCTGTAAATCTAGCTATTTAGGAGACTGAAATCTGAGGATCCTGTTTTGAAGCCAGCCTGGTCAGGAAAGTCTGTGAGACTCTTTACTCTTTATCTCCAATTAATCACAAAGACAGCCAGAAATGGCACTATGTATGGTTCAAGTGGTAGAGTGCTAACCTTGAGCAAAAGGAGCACAGGGACAGTGCCCAGGCCAAGAGTTCAAGCCCCAGGACTGACAAATAAGGTATACGCCAGAATCCTTTCCTTATGGGACTACATTCTACTGAAGGAGACAAGTAGTAAGAACATAATGCATGTAGTAAAGAAGTGCCAGGAAATAAACTGTAGTGGAGGAAGATTACAGAATGGCTGGAGCTGCTATTTTTGGTAATTTGATCATGGAAAACCTCTTGGAGGAGATAACATTTGTGCAAGATCTACATGAATCAAGAAGTTAGGAAATATATAGCAAGAAGAAAATCATTCTAGAAACAGCATGTGCAAAGGCATTGAGGTAGAGTGTGCTTGTGGGAATACAACAAGAACACAACAAGAAGGCCAGCATGATGAGCTTATAAAGCCACAGGTGTCAGATCCCAGCCTCACCAGGTACAGAACAGAGCTGTCACAGCCCAAGAGGATCCCCAGGGCCAGGCCACCCACTCACTCACCATCCCCATCGGCAGGGGGAGCTGTGCTATGGTCGGCACTCTTCTTTGATACACAGCAAACGGCTAAAGCAAGACAACAAGGTTTTTGGACAAGGTTATTTCTGGCCAGGTGAAGGGCAGAGGTAGTGAAGTACAGAACCCAGTTTCTCCAAGGCTTCTTTTGACTACAATGAGTTCGGGTCCCTCTTCAAATTCAGTTAGCTAGGGGGAAGAGAGGGGCGGTGGTGGGAGAGGGATGGATTACTGCCCAGGACAGGACACTGGAATGCCAGACTTAAAAAAAAAAAAAAAGACAAGAAATTAAATCTTCATGTCTAAAAGAAGTTAAATTTCCCTTATTAAAGCTAGGCAATTATTTCTAATATCCAAATTACTCCTTATTTCAGATTTCATATCCTAGCCTGAGTACAATTCAGTTCAGTTCATAGATTATCTAGCTTATCTTTAAATTGATTGAGGACCAGCTATAGCTTCTACCTGGCTAATTTTTTTGTTGTTGTTGTGGGGCCTGAACTCTGGGCCGGGCTCTGTCCCTCAGGTCTTCAGCTCAAGGCTAGTGCTCTACCACTTGAATTATAGAACAGCACACACACCACAGTTTTCTGGTGATTTACTGGATAAGAGTCTCATGGACTTTCCTGCCCGGGCTTGAGCCACAATCCTCAGATCTCAGCCAGGATTACAGATGTGAGCTACCTGTGCCGAACGCTAATTGTTGTTGTTGTTATTAACAACACCATTGCTATAAGCCTGAGTTTTTGCATCAACCTAGCCTCCCTGGAGATGGCTAAAGTATGTGCACTAGCCTTGGCTCCCATATGTCACTTACTGATGAGGTCCATGACTTCGCGGGTTAACATCCTCACCAGCTGTTCCTCTAGCATCTCTTGAGACTCTGGATTTTCCTCTGTGGGCTCATCTTCTCCACTGCCAAAAACCAGGAGGAAGGGTAAGGAAACAGCAACCCTCTCTAGACCCTCTGTGCGCAGCTTCTGGCTTCCTTCAGATCTATATTCTACACAGATCCTGGGCCAACGAGGGTTGTTATTACTAGCGACGTAGCCCCATGAAGACTTGATCAGTGGCTGCCTAAAGTCAGTCTACCACATAAATCAACGACTGAGGCTTAAAATGATGATAATCCATCAGTTGTCTAGCCCCAGGACAGCAGAATCCCTGCCCCTTCTTCCTTTACCCCTCCCAACCCAGATGCTAGCTCACCGCCAAATAGTGGGTATACTCCTTACCCCAGCTGGCTCCTCTGGTTGATGACTTGCCATTTCTGGGAAAGTCTCTGGGGAAACAGGAGGGAAGTGCTGGGACGGGGGAGCAGACTAGAGCACATATCTACAGTGCTAAAACGAGCCAGGGGTGACTCTACTATCAACAGCAGGTCTCAGAGGTCCACACAAGCTCAAACACCTCGGCTTAGGAGGCTTTAACTTTTTTTTTTTTCATTAGTCGTGGGGCTTGAACTAAGATCCTGGGTGCTGTCCAGCTCTTTTGGATAACGCTAGTGTTTTACCACTTTGAGCCACAGTTCAATTCCTGGTTTTTGAGTGGTTAATTGGAGAAAAGAGTCTCACAGGGACTTTTCTGCCCAGTTTGGCTTCAAACCATGATCCACAGATCTCAGCCTCCTGAGTAGCTAAGATTATAGGTGTGAGTCACCAGCACCTGGCTCCAGCTGACAACATTCTTAGAATTCTGAATCTCTGGACCCTCTATCAACACCCAGATGGCTCCTGCCTAACTGCTGAATTAGGGACACAGGCCCTGGAGAAACATTTGTCTGAGTGTCACCTCTCCTCAGGGGGCAGGAGGTAAGGAACAGAATCTACACCTGAAAGTGCTTCATGCGTGGGTGAATCACTTCAGTTGCCCAGGAGGACATAATAAGAATGCTCAAAAGACTCAGGAATGGCCAAGGAGGACCAAGGGTCTTCCTGTCCTCCTTGCTTCACATCTCTTACCATGTGGAGGTAGGTGAAAAGAGGTCCAAGGATGGGAGGTACCAGGGCTTCATAGTGCTCTGGTGGGCAGAAGAGCACAAGAGGCTTCACGAAGACCCGTGCTGCGGTGGGTTAAGAAGTTTTAGCCATGAGCAGAGGCCCCTCACTCACCTGCCGGGTGAGTAGTGGTAAGATGCCAGGAACATGCTGTGTTAATAGTTCAAATTCCAAACAGCATCTGAATTTGACTCCCTCATTTCTGTATTTTAACTGTCTTTTCTACCAAACTGCCCATTATGGACACTGGGTTGGAGGAAGCAAAGTAGGACACCCTTGTAATAAGCTCACCTTCCCCATTTTCCTTATTATAACTTCACATGAGACACAAATTTACAAAAGAGCCTGAAGCCAGGCACAGTGGCTCTTGTTTGTAACCCTACCAAAACAAACAAACAAAAAACCCTAGCCAGATGGAGCCCAAGCTACTGAGGAGCCTAAGGTAGAAGGACCATTAAAATACAGGAGTTTGAGCCAGCATGGGCAACAAAGCAAGATCCCATCAGAGAGAGAGAGAGGAGGGAGAGAGAAGAGAGGAGGGAGAGGGAGAGAGGGAGGGAGAAAGAGAGGGAGTGAGGGAAGGAGGGAGAAAGAGAGAGAGGGAGAGAGAGAGAGAAAGAGAGAGAGAGAGAGAGAGGGAGGGAGGGAGGGAGAGGAAAGAGCCAGGTATGGTAGCTCATGCCTGTAATCCAAGGTAGTACAGAGGTCCTAGGTGGGAGGATCTGTCTGGGCTACATGGTATAGAGACCTTGTCTCAATAAACAAAATAAAAATACTCTTTGAATTTTTAAATCTTCCTGTCTTCAATGAGATTACACTATTCTTAGATAAGCTCCTTGAAGCTCTTCCTTCTCCCTGCTCCCTGTCCCTAATTCTCTGGCCCTGTGGACTGTCTAGGAATTTCTGAAAGGATATGAAGCATGGGTCTGAGTCGGTAATCAGGAATATTGCTCAAGTTGATGAAGGCTGAGCCGAGAAGCTGGGCGGCAAGGTCCTCCACAGTGTAGAAGTCCTGCTGCATGGAAGGACCTGCCTTCCCCAGAATATGGAAACTGAAAGATAAAATCGTGGGCAATGACAAATCCAGTGGTCTTTACTGCTGGCCCTGACTGCCCCAAGGATTTCATTTCTGGTCTGCACTAAGATTTTTAGCTAGAAAAGCAATTGCATTTACACTATAAGAGAATGTGAGCTTTGCAGATTCAACTGAAACTTTTGACAAAATTATTCTTCCCCTCCCACAGTGAACACAGTATCTGTTAAAACACAGGTTGCTAGCCAAGGTCCAGAGCACCCTTCATACTGTGTAATGCAGACTCACAATGGAGGAACCTATGAGGCTGGCCTGAATACAACACTGGGTAACCAAGGCCAAAGCGTGGGTGTGTTGGCAGTGAGGGGCTGGGCAGCTGAGTAAAGGTAGCCCCATTCACTCTACTTTCTACCTGGTCTCAGCACTTCATGCACTGAAACACAGACATATGAGGCATGGACATTAAGTAAGAGCTAACAGGACAACTAGGAAGATACCAAGCCTGGGCAAATGGGCTTTGATTCAACACTAGCACCAACTTCCCTCTCGATTCTTGCCCCACCTTCGGTGTGCAATAGAGTTCCACATCAAAGACAAACACCTAGCCATTCCTGTAAGTACGTATTCCAGAAGAGGACGTGGCTCCTTGCTTACCAGTTTTCATAAAGAGTGCTGAAGAAGCGCTGCATTCTTTCCAAGACTGTTTTGTAGACAGGATAGTCATTGAGCTCCAGGAGAGGCTGAGGTAATCCTACAGAGGAAGAGGTCAGGAACACATTGTTCTGCTGCCAGACACAGGGCAGCCGGCAGGTAGGGGTGTGTGTGTGTGTGTGTGTGTGTCTGTCTGTCTGCCTGATTTTCCCTAGATGGGACCTGTACCAAACACAGTGACAATGCAAAAGGATTTCTCCATGAAGTACCAGGATGCCTCCACCCCCACCCCAAGACATGGAAACTCTTTTTCAAGGGAAGTTGGATGCAAGAGCCCCAAAAGGACAGCAGAGCCAAATGAAATCCATTCACCTCAGTCTCACAACTGTTTATGAAGTGTATAGGAGGTTGTTTTATATTTCAAATCACAGTCAGAAGTTACCAGAGAGAACTGTTGTTCCATTCTAGTGTATCTCATGGGCCACATATTTCTAAAGCAGGAGCTCCTGGCTTAACTTGAAGAATGGAATGGACTATGTATTGTACAGTATTAACTTCCTATTATATTAGTGGCAATCCATGTCTTAGAAGTTCTATTTTAACTGATGTCTGCAACATAGACATTAAGTATAGTGATGTCCAAGACCATTTAGGCCTAGACACAGACCTGAGCATGAAAGACAAATTAACACCCCCCACCCCTCGCTTCCTTTGGTTAACTTTATAGCTGAGGAGTGCTCATTGGAGAGCCTAGCTAAAGCTGTACCTGATAGGCAGGTACTCTCTCACTGAACTATGCCTCAATCCCTCCTGCATAAATTTTGATTGTGTACACAAACCCCCATGCACAAAGCCAGAAAGAATATCATTATCTTTCAGGTTAAAAACCATGGCTTACATAGAATCTAATGGCACTGGCAGCTTGAAGGGGGACAAATGGGAGGAGTGCCCTTGTGGTGTATGTACACCTGCTCTTGTAGAACCGAAGGAACTTCACAATACATTTCTGAACAAATGGGGTTACGGTGGTGCCACGCAAGTACAATGTGACACAATCACAACAAAGCTGCTCCAGGTGCCTATGGAGAGATAAAATCAATTGACGGGGAAATAAAGGTTGCCATTTCTTACCTAATATAGCAGATTTTTCAGCTTCAAGCATATCTAGAGCCTTGGCAAAAGGCTCTGCCATTTTGGCTAACATTTCTGGTGCATATAATGAATTGTGGGTTCTGAAAGAAACAAGAATGCACATGTCAATGTTTCTCTCTGGCACAGAAGGAAGGGTGGGAGTCAATGATGCGCCTCCACCCAGATAACTCTACTTCAGCATTCCTCCCAGCAGGAGCAGTCCTGGACAAATATGCACCTGGAGGTTATTCAGTATGCACTATACAATACCACAGCAGTGTCACTAAGAAGTGTGTGTGTGTATGTGTGTGTAGCCCTGAGGCTTGAAATCAAGGCCTAGGTGCTGTCCCAGAGCTTCTTAGTCCTCTACCAATTGAACCACAGCTCCACTACCATGATAAAGCACATACACTTTTGAGATTAAGGTAAAAATAACAGACCAAAACCTTATTATGACTTACCTTACAAGGGCAAGCAGATTGTCTAGAAGTTTCAGAATCTGCTCTGTACAGGGGTTGCGGAAGATTGGATTGCCACTGGGTGTATAACCCACCACAAATCCCCCAGCTTTGGCCTCTTCTAGATCAGCAGGCCAGCAAGTTCGTTTTATAACACCCAAAATACTGTAGACACAAAAGCTCATCTGTGGAAAAGCAATAAAGAAACAAGAGTAAATGTTAAAGAGGAAGAACAGACAAAGGAATGGTTAGATTTATTCAATGCTATAGCACAAGTGATGCAGAGGCCAGAGGTGAGGAGAGAACCTTCTGTTTCTCCCAACTCCACAGGATCTCTTGTCCTTTCCTTTGAAGCCAAGTTTGAAGGGGTCCACTCTGTAGGAAGAGCGGTAGTTCTAGAAGTTTTCCCTTCATTAGGATGTCTTTCCAAATGTTTAGTCGCCTCTCCCCCCCTTCCCCCCACAGGATTGTAGTTAGAAGGAGGCTTCGACATGTTCTAAGACAGTGTTTCAACTGCCATTATTTCACTTAGTTTCCAAATTGACCCTAGCCTTCCAGCTTGGACTTTGGCAGCTTTTGCTCTAATCCCTTCACCTTATCTCTCAACCAACCTACTACTTGCCAGATTACTGATCCTAGCTTTTACCATAATGGAGCCAGGAACACTTTGAATAGCAAAGCACTTAAAAATCCTCAGGTGTGCAACTTGGCCATCTCTTAGGGCTTGACATGCCAGAAAGCAATAGCAGGGAGGCCTCACCCTGCTGGCCAAGTTCTGACCTACTTCCTCATTACACCTTCAGTCTTCAGATCTACTAGAGATCCTTGAAGCCAAAATAATGACTTCATAGAAAAGACCATCTGCTCTGCTGTGGGAACTAACTCAAGAATTCAGGACTAAAGAAGAAAAGAAAGGAGAAGCTTAGGGCAACTGGAGACTACAGGCTTCTCACCAGTATAGACAAACCTAAGAGAAACTTGATAATGGCAACCTCCTACACTTCTACCGGGCGCCGGTGTAGCCCCATCCCCACAAGAGTCTTACTCGCGCTCGGTTCAAGCCACAGGGATCCTCCAGAGCGGGGTCACAGCTTTTCGGATCTGCACCCACATAGGCAATGAAAGAATCAACATCCAACAGCGCTCTAAAGGGAAGAAGGAGAAAGACAAGTTACCGCAGGATGTTTTAAGACAATTTCTTCTACGAATCCTAATAGACTGATTATTTGGCTTCAAAGAGCAGCTTTTACAGGAGGTGAGTTTAATGGTATCAATTGTCACTGGAAGGTTTAAATTTCCCTCCACACTCTCAGATTTCCTTAGTAGCACCTTATGAATTGGCAGGCTCTGTGTGGTGGTTCCTTTGGCTCCTCCTGGCTTCTCCAAAGGTGCTGGTACTATACACCAAACCCACAGCAACCCAGGTGCTTGTGGCTCATGCCTATAATCCTCCCTACTCAATGGGCTGAGATCTGAGGGTCATGGTTCAAAGCTAGCTGGGGCAAGAAAGTCCATGAGACTTTACCTCCAATGAACCACCAGAAAACAGGAAGTGGAGCTGTGGCTCAAAGTGGTAGAACATTAGCCTTGAACACAAAGCTTAGGAACTGTGGTTGAGGCCTTGAGTTCAAACCCTATGACTGATCCTCCCCCTCCCACCTCTCTTCCTACCTGTCCTGCTATGCCTCCTTCAGGCAAGGAGGTACTTTCATGAGATTAGATTACAAAGGATCTAGAGAGAACTTCAGATTCCACTGATGGTGGAATATCTATATCCTTACAGAACTCCCCCTCACCATCCTGGGACTCTCAAAGCAGAAAGGGGGTTCGAATGCAGTGAGATGAGGAGGGAACTGTCTCTTCTACCTTCGCATTTCCTCAGAAAGCCAGATACGAGCCACAGGTGCCATCAGCTCCTCTAGGAACAACTTCTGACGCTCGTAGTTCTTGAACTGGTTGCTAATGAGAACCAGGGCTTCCATGAGGGCACATTTCTCCATCTGGGTCAGGAGGAGCTCATTGGAGAGGAGTTGCTTTACATGGTTATAAAGCATGTCAAAATTGGGCTGCAGACCACAAACAAAAAAGGAAGGAGGTAAAGAACTGATTTCCAGGAGGAGACGGGCCACTCAAAGAAGAAAGAAAATCAAGATGAGTCTAGGAAAGTCAGGCCATCACTGTTTTGTTTCTAAACTTAATTAACATTCTTTTGCCTGAATAGCAAAGCAATTATGCACAAGACAGTTATTGTCTTGAATTTGGATAAATGCATTTTGCCACACAAGTAGGAAAAAGATTGGACTCTTCTACATCGACTTTATGGTACTCTTACAAAGATCAGTTATACACGAAGACAATTGTTATGTACTCAGAGAAGGAATTTCTGATTAATTTGTTACCTAGAATAAGGCTAAATTTGTACAGAAACTCCCCTCACCCTCAAAAAAGGGTTGAGATTTACATTTGGCTTTTCTCAAAATCAGGCACATCATTTGGCAGGAGTAATTAAGAGTATCATGTAGTTGGTTGAACAGAGTTGAAGCACCTTGTTTGCAACTATGAAAATACAAAATGAAACCTTTTGAAATTGTTTGGAAAAGAGGGGAAGGGGGGGCAGTTAATTTGTGAAGTTGATTGGAATACATGGTAAACATGTATGGAAATGTTTTTAACCACCCCCTTCCCCTATAACTTATTTAGGCTAATTAAAAGATAAAAACAAACCACATAGTAAAGAGTTCTGCAGTGAGAGGAATAAACATACAAAGAGAATCTTTCTTCAATGCAGTGTTGGGAATTGGACCCAGGACCTTACATGTGTTAGGTAAGCACTTTACCACACAGCTACATCCCCAACCAAGAACCATTCCTTTTTTTGGACTATATTTGCATTTTTTAAAAACCAAGCTAGAAAGAAGAACACACCAACTCAAGAACACTTATTCTGTGAAAACTATGACTGCAGTTTTTCCTTTATGCGAGTTTTTCCTTTTCCGTTTTACACAGCACTTGATAGGCCTCAGTGGTAGACTCAGCTAGGGCCCAGAAACTTACCAGCACAAGCTCAGGGTAGTCACGACACATCTTGATAATGGAGGAACAAGCATGTCTCCTCACGTTCCTCACTGCCCGGGTTCTGGGAGCCTGGAAAGAGACCCTCAATGTCTTAAGAGCCACTTGTAACTAACACGTGACTCTGAGGAAATCTCACAATGAAATCTTACAAACTCTAAGAATATAAATAATGGCATTAAGAATATAATGAGCTGGGTGCTGGTGGCTCACGCCTCTAATCCTAGCTACTCAGGAGGCTGAGATCTGGAGTTCATGGGTTCAGAGCAAGCCTGGGCAGGGAAGTCTGTGAGACACTTATCTCCAGTTAACCACCAGAAAACCAGAAGTGGTGCTGTGGCTCAAATGGTAGAGTACTAGCCTTGAGCTGAAGAGCTCAGGGACAGCACTTGGGCCGAGTTCATGCCCCATGACTGACAAAAAAAAAAAAAGAATATAACGACATTTACAGTTATCTGAGTCACATAAATTCACATTTGCCTTTTTTAAAATGTCTCCAGAGCAAAACACTGAGTGAAAATAAGGTGCTACTACCATCCCTCCTTCCACTCATACAAAAATCTAGACCACTTACTACTTACAAGAAGTTAGCGGTTTAGCTAATGGTCTCAGCCAGGAATAGCAGCTCACACCTCTGATGTCAGAATTCAGGAGGCTGAGGCAGAGGGACTGAGCTCCACACTAGACAGGGACAGAGAGCTGGGCTCCACAAAAAAAGGTAGTAGACTTACCTTGGTTTCTTCAACAGTTTCAAAAGTGACAGATGAAAATAGCTGAGAGGAAGAAGAAAAAAAAGTCACTTCATGTGGTAATTATGAACAAATCCCAGAAATATATTCATACCAACAATCCAGCTTAAAAAAAATAACGCTTTTCTTTGGTATTGAAAAGCCTCGGATGTCTATCTCAAATATGTCTATAAGAAGCTGGAGATTCACTACTGTATCATTAAAATATCTTATGGCCAGGAGCTGTTGGCTCATGCCTGTAATCCTAGCTACTGAGGAGGCTGAGATCTACGATTGCCGTTCAAAGCCAGCCCGGATAGGAAAAGTAAGTGAGTGAGACTCACATGTCTAACCACCAGAAACCTGTAAGTGAAGCTGTGGCTGAAAAGTAGTAGAGCCATAGCCCTGGGTAAAAGAGCTCAGGGACAGGGCCTTTTTGTGATTTTAATTAAGTGTCAATATTTTTAATCTTTTTTTTCTTTTTGGGTCTGGTTGTGGGGGCCTAAACTCTGGGCCTGGGTGCTGTCCCTCAGCTCTTCAGCTCAAGGCTAGCGCTCTACCACTTAAGCCACAGTACCACTTCCAGCTTTTTTTTTTCTGCTTATGTGGTGCTGGGAATCGAACCCAGGGCCACAGGCATGTAAGGTAAGCGCTCTACCACTGAGCCACCTTCCCAGCCCGATATAATCATTTAATCTTAATAAGTTATTTTAAAAAATCTATTCCATCACTCAACAGCCTAGTTATGGTATTAACACATCTCTCTTCACTTCTTTTCATTAAAAAAGTCAAAAGCTGGGGGCTGGAAAGGTGGCTCAGTGGTAAAGGGCTTGCCTTGCATGCATGCACGAGGCCCTGGGTTCGATTCCTCAGTACCATATAAGCAAAAAAAGCTGGAAGTGACGCTGTAACTCAAATGGTAGAGTGCTAGCCTTGAGCTGAAGAGCTCAGGTACAGTGCACAGGCCCAGAGTTCAGGCCCACGACCGTGGGAAAAAAAAAAGTTAAAAGTTGGAATGATCTGGGCTAGAGGTATAGCTGAAGTCCCAGAGTACCTACCTAGCAAATACCCTGAGTCCAAACCCCAGTACCATCCCCACCCCCCCAAAAGATGAGTGATCTACCTTGTCTGGATCCATTTTATAACTTCCCATCTACTCTGTACTCTGGCTGCTTCTTTGGCCTCTGTGATGGAATTAAACTGGGCTGAAGATCTAATCCAGAAACCCACCAATGGAAGTGGTGCTGTGGCTCAAAATGGTAGAGAGCTAGCCTTGAACAAAAAAGCTCAGGGATAGCTCTCAGTTCAAGTCCCACCACCACCCCCTGTCCCCCTTGACCCCCCCAAAAAAGACTAAGACTCATTAAATTTATTGGGCTGGAAATGTGGCTTAGTGGTAGAGTTTTTGCCTAGCATCCATTAAGTCCTGGGTTCAATTCCTCAATACCACATAAACAGAAAAGGCTGGAAGTGGTTCTGTGGCTCAACTGGTAGTGTTAGCCTTGAGCAAAGGAAGTTCAGGGACAGTGCCCAGGCCCTGAGATCAAACCCCAGGACTGGCACACAAAAAATAAAATAAAGAAACCAACTACACATTCTCCAACCCTGAATTTCTGTTGCAGTAAAGAACTTCACTTAAGTCCTAGTATGTGTGTAAAACATTACTTGAAGCCAGGCGCTGGTGGCTCACGCCTGTAATCCTAGCTACTCAGGAGGCTGAGATCTGAGGATCGCGGTTCAAAGCCAGCCCGAGCAGGAGAGACCATGAGACTCCTATCTCCAATAAACCACCAGAAAACCGGAAGTGGCGCTATAGCACTAGCCTTGAGCTGAAGAGCTGAGGGACAGCGCCCAGGCCCAAAGTTCAAGCCCCACGACTGACCAAAAAAAAAAAAAAAATTACTTGATTCATTTCCCTGGCATCTTTTTCTTATTTATGCTCCTCCTTGGGTAATAGTGACCCCCATGGTTCTCGGCTTGCCTCACATTCATCTCTTTTGTTGTTGTTGTTGGTCATGGGTCTTGAATTCTGGGCCTGGGCGCTGTCCCTCAGCTATTCAGCTCAAGACAAGTGTTCTACCACTTGAGCCACAGCACCACTTCCGGTTTTCTAGAGATAAAGAGTCTTACGGACTTTCTTGCCCGAGCAGGCTTTGAACCGCAATTCTCAAGATCTCAGCCTCCTGAGTAGCTAGGATTACAGGCGTGAGCCACGGGCGCCCTGGCACCTGACTTAACATTCATCTCTTAATTCTGTATTTGTATCCTCTTTCTAGTCTTGGGGTGTCTACAATGATGATGTAATTAATCTCATCACTTTCTGGAGTTTAGATTTTTATTTACTTTTTTTTTTTTTTTTTGCCAGTTCTGGGGCTCAAACTCAGGGCCTTAGCAGTGTCCCTGAGCTTCTTTAACTCAAGGCTAGCACTCTACCACTTGAGCCACAGCACTAGTTCTGGCCTTTTCTGTGTATGTGGTACTGAGGAATCAAACCCAGGGCTTCATGCATACGAGGCAAGCACTCTACCACTAAGCCAAAAGCCCAGCCCCTGGAGTTTAGACTTTCAAACTCAACCCATTTACTGCAAGGTCTTCACCTTAAATGCTCTTGATTTATTTCAAACATAAGATTCAAAAATAGCTCTCTTCCTTACTCCTGTTCTCTTTCCTGATTCACCATTCTCACTCAGATGGCAGCATTGCTGCCACCAACTCATTAAACCAGAAACCTGAAAATGATACTATTCCTCTCTGTCACAAATCTCTTCTGATCTGATAGTCCAAATCACCTTTCTTAACTCTCCTTTAGTATTCTTTTCTGTTTCCCAGTATCTGAATCTAGTAATTGCAGTACCATACAGGTACAGCATTTGTGTTTGGCTTTTTTTTGTTGTTGTTGTTGGTCATGGGGCTTGAACTCTGGGCTTGGGCGCTGTCCCTCAGCTCTTCAGCTCAAGGTGAGCACTCTACCACTTGAGCTACAGCACCACTTCCGAGATACAGCATTTGTTCATGTATGTTTTCCTACATTGATTCCAAAGAGTAAGGTTACTAGCATGGTGACTCTTGTCCAGCATGCACTCAGTACATACTGAGTAAACGATGGCTCTTTTTTATTTTGCCTCACATACTTCAAAAAAAAAAATTACAAAATCTAGAGCTAGGAATGGTAACATATTCTTCTAATCCCAGTATTTGAAAGACTGATGCAGGAAAATCAGGAGTTTGAAGCCAGCCTGGGTTACACAGTGAGATTATCTCAACCCCTTCTTCTTCCTCCTTCCCCCAAATTAGAAACCATTAGCTTAGAAATGTCAAAGTTCACTGAGGAGAAGGACTTTACCTTTGAGAAGACCTGGGGTAAGAACTCTGGTTTGTACGTGACAAATGGGAAGAGTGCTGAGACATTAGTGAGGACGCAGGAGAGGATGAGTGGATCCTTCACATCAAAGTTCAGGACCATGTGCAAGAGCTCTATGCCATCACTGACAGGAATCCCCTGAAAGCAGACATGACAAGGAGGCCAACATGGCTACCACACTCGGAGACAACTTCTCTTAACCCCAGTAACACAATTACTTATGATTTCACATACTGCTCATCAACTCTCAATTCTAAGCATGATTTCAGACACTAAATGGTGCTACCATAGCCATATCAAGATGAAGCAATTCCTACTACTGTTTGCAATTAAGGATGTTGCCAGTTCTTCACTATTAGGTAATACTAACACACGTTGTTATAAATAAAGTTAGAATTACTTTGGATCAAATCCAGGGCCTTGGGTTGGGAAGGTGGCTCAGTGGTAGAGCATGCATGCATGCATGCATGAGGCCCTGGGTTCGATTCCTCAGCACCACATAAGCAGGAAAAAAAAGCCGGAAGTGGCGGTGTGGCTCAAGTGGTAGAGCGCTAGCCTTGAGCTGAAGAGCTGAGGGACAGCGCCCAGGCCCAGAGTTCAGGCCCCATGACCAGACCTTCCCCCCCCCACCCCGCAAAAAAAAAACAAACAAATCCAGGGCCTTGCACATGCTAGGCAATTGCTCCACTGCCAAGCTACATCTCCAGTTCTAGACTGTGTTCCCTTTTGTTATCTGAAAATACCTTTGGCTATTTTTCCACCAGGATGTAGTGTGTAGTGTTTTTCTCATCAATAGAAAATTTCTACTGTGAACATTTCAGAAGTGTATAACCTATAATCTATAATCCCAACTATTCAAGAGGTTGAGATCTGAGGATCGCAGTTCAATGCCAACCCAGGCAAGAAAGTCTGTGAGACTGTTACTTCCAATTAATCACAGAAAAAGCTGGAAGTGGTGCTGTAGCTCAAGTGGGACAGCACACAGCCAGGAAAAAAAAAAAAAAAGAGTAGATGAGCTTCCTCACTGAAGTCTAGTTTATTAATGTACCTTTTGTGAGGACTTATATTCAGGTGACTTACAGATTCTTTTCACAACTAACCTAGAATACACCAACATGCAATTACCCTGAAACTAGATGTGACTTAATTATCTTAAATTTATCATTATTCAACGGAGGGGAACATAATCAATCCACATGAATATTCTGGCCCATCTGCCATACTGAAAAGTATACTTCCTAACATACTTCTCAAGGTTATCCAATTGAAAATCTCCATCACTGTTTCTCTACAACAGTAAACTTAAGGGAGGCTGTGTGCTTTCAAACTCTTGACCTGCCCTTAAAATGGACACTAAATGATATAAGGCATAGAGTCAGATTTATTTATTTATTTGGTCTCAGCTCTGCTGTTGTTGAAATTTGAGTATGTTATGTTATTTAAGCTCTCTAAATGTTTCCTCTTCTGTAAGATGAATTTTTTTGTAATCTCTGTATTGGCTTATAAAGGATCAAAATTACTATGGAGCCAACATGAGAAATACTTACTTCTTTGTCTACTGTTTTAAACATCTGGTTGATCACACTCTCCAAGAAAAAGGTCATGGCTTCCCACTGCACAAATGAAGGTGAGAAGATGGAGCAGAGGCTTCCCTCTCCAGTTCCAGCTACAGAACAGGCATTTGAAACACACATACCAAATGCTTATTAACAGGATAGGACAACAGATGACATAGGGACAGGGGGATCACAGAGACTATCTGGTCATTTAAGAGGTGATAGAACAGGTGCTCCAACCTGTTTAAACTTGGGCAAAGGTCAGGCACTGGTTGTGTCTAGCTACTCAGGAGGCTGATATTTGAAGATCAGGGTTCAAAGCAAGCCCAGGCAGGAAAATCCATGAGACTCTTATTTCCAATTAACCACCAAAAGCCAGAAGCAGAACTGTGTGGCTAAAGTAGTAAGTACTAGCCTTGAGCAAAAAAGCTCACCGATCATTGTCTGTGTCAGGTTTTGAGCTTAAGTCCCAAGATCCCCACAACCACAAAAAGACCAAAGACAAAACATGGTATATAGGAAATTTAACTAGGCAATGCATTCGGGTAAAAGGAGTTACTAAGATTTTATACAAAGTGGGATTTTACAAAGGCTCTCACAGAAGATTTTCTGAATTTAGGAGTACTACCATCTGTAAGCACTTGCTGAAAGGTTTTCAAAAGTTAAGTGCAATTTGTTTAATGGTCCCTGAACAAAGCAGGAAAATCAACAACTGGCCAATTTTGTTAAAACATAAAAATAAATTCAAAGCTGACAGGGACAGTTTTATACTAATTTAAAGAGATTTTAAAGGAAAATACTTAGTCCCTAGGATATAATGATGGAGTAACAAAGCTATTTAGCAACACTAGTATACTGTTCTGACATCTACATTATTTTGATACAACTATAATGGTCACTAATAAAGTACACTTACAGTTTATTGTCCCTGATTCAACAGAACTTGAAAGCTGATACTTTAGCCACTCCCCAGCCATCTGGAAGCTGGTCTTGGGATCCAAACGACAGGCCAACCTCATCACCTCTCCTTGCTGAGCTCGAGAAGCTGCAATGGAAGGACATAAATTGACAAATGGCACATATTAAGTTCCATCCCAAGGGGAAAATGCTCAAAAAAACCTATCTTGCAGGCTTGTGTTTTGAAACCAGCAATTGCTCAATGTAACTTTCTAGAGTTAATAAATCAAGAAATTTTCAGTTAAAAGAATACCCTCCTCTCCCCACTCCCCCAGCTGGTCCTGGGGCTTTAACTCAGTACCTAGCGTTGCCCCTGGGCTCCTTTTGCTCAAGACCAGTGGTTCTACCACTTGAGCTACAGCACCACTTCCAGCATTTCCTTTTTCTTTTTTTGGTCAGTTGTGGAGCTTCTACTCTGGGCCTGAGCTCTTCAGTTCAAGGCTAGCGCTCTACCACTTGAGCCACAGTGCCACTTCTGGTTTTCTGGTGGTTTATTGGAGCTAAGAGACTCATGGACTTTCTTGCCCAGGCTGGCTTTGAACCTCGATCCTCAGATCTGAGCCTCCTGAGTAGCTAGGATTACAGGCATGAGCCACCACACCTGAAACTGCCAGTTTTTCTGTGATTAACTGGAATTAAAAGCATTTTGGGGACTTTCATGCCTGGGCTGGCTTCCAACCACAATCCTCAGATCTCAGCCTCTGGTAGCTGGGATTATAGACATAAGCTACCCATGCCTGGCAAAAGAATTTTTTTTACAGAGTTGGGGATAACCTAGGGCCTTTTTATACTAGACAAGCACTCTGACCCCCAGCTAGATCCCCAGACTAAAAAATTTCAAAAATAATTATCTTTAGATGTTATCTTACCAGCTAGATCAGACTAAACTTAGGCTTCCATTTATATGAGAATTCAAGGAATTAGCTCGGTAGGAACAGACAACAGCACAGCTGCTGTGGGAAACAAGTCTGGCAGTCCCTCAATATTAAATGTGGAACTGGCAAACTTATCTAGAGCCTTAACTGCTAGTACATACCCCAAAGAAACAAGAAAAGTCATACAAACACATGTAAAAAACTGGTCAGTGACATTATTCCTAATAGTAAAAAGAATAACAAAAATATCAATGAAATAATAAAAGAAACAAAGTATTTACACATGCTACAATATGGATACATTTTAAAAAACTGTGCTACAAGAAAGCAGTCACAGGGCTGGGAAGGTGGCTCAGTGGTAGAGCGCTTGCCTTGCATGCCTGAGGCCCTGGGTTCGATTCCTCAGCACCACATAAGCAAAAAGGAAAAAGCCGGAAGTGACGCTGTGGCTCAAGTGGTAGAGCGCTAGCCTTGAGCTGAAGAGCTGAGGGACAGCGCCCAGGCCCAGAGTTGAGGCCCCACGACCGGAACCAAAAGAAAAAAAAAAAGAAAGCAGTCACAAAATACCACATATTTTGTAATTACATTTTAATGAAATGATCAGAATGGACCAAACATAGTGACAGAAAAGAGATTGCTGGTGGCAAGGGGTAAGAATGTGATTAAGGAAGCTGGGGTTTGGTGGTTCATGCCTATACTCCTAGCTACTCAGGAGGCTGAGATCTGAGGATCTCCTATGTGGCTAGCTCAGGCAGGCAGGAAATTCCATGAGACTCTTACCCAATAAAAACTACTCAAGGGCTGAGAATGTGGCTTACTGGTAGAGTGCTTGCCTAGCATGCATGAAGCCCTGGGTTCCATTCTACAGTACCATATATATACACAGAAAAAGCTGGAAGTACCACTGTGGCTCAAGTGGTAGAGCAATAGCCTTAAGCAAAAGGAGCTCAGGAACAGTACCCAGACCTGAGTTCAAGCCCCAGTACTGGCAAAAAAAGAAAAAAGAAAAAACACAACTACCCAAGGGCTGGGAATGTGGCTTAGTGGTAGAGCGCTTGACTAGCATGTAGGAAGCCATACGTTCAATTCCTCAGTTATCACATAAACAGAAAAACCTGGAAGTGGCACTGTGGCTTAAGTAGTAGAGTGCTAGCCTTGAACAAAAGAAACTCAGGGACAGTGCCAGGGCTAAGTTCAAGCCCCAGGAATGGAAAAAAAAAAAAAAGAAAAGAAAAGAAAACCAAACCACTGGGCTAGGAATGTGACTTAGTGGAAGAGTGCTTGCCTAACATGCATGAGGCTCTGGGTTCAATTCCTCAGTACCACATAAACAAACAAAAAGAATGATGAGATTAGGAAATGAATATAGAGTTCCTTTTGGGGGACGGTGATATATTGTAGAATTTGTGGTGGTGGTTGCATGATGGTGAAAAAAACTAAAGCTCAATGAATTGTATACTATAAGGGTGCACTTTCTATGGCAAATTGATTTAATTCAATGAAAGGAAAATAGATATAATAGCATACATCTGCAATCCCAGCACTTCGGATGCTAGAAGGAAGACAATGAGTTCACAGCCTGACTGGACATCTGTCTCAAAGGAAGGAAGGGAAGGAGGGGAAATCAGGCTCTAGAAAACCCCAAATGGAATTATGACCTAACAGGTTTTCCAATTCTGGGAAGAAAGTAGTATTTAATCATGAGGATAAGGGTGAGATTAATTGGAATATATTATAAAAATACCTGGAAATGTCACAGTGAACCCAGTCCCTCCACATATAATGAAATAATTTATGCTAATAATAGAAAATAATAAAAATAATATTTAGTCTTAAGTATAAAAAACCTAAGGATAGAAAATAATAAAAATAATATTTAGT